GGGCCCTGGCGGGTGCGTGGGAGGCAAGAAAGGGGGACTGGAATCCAAGCCTCGTAAGGCTGCCCAGAGTCAGCACCTTCCAGGATCCTCACAGTGGGGGGTCTTGGGGCCACATGTGGGCCATGCCTGCAGAGGGTGCTGGGAACCCCCTTTGGCCAGCGTCTTGCTCTGCTCGCTGTCTTTGCTTTCTTCCAGCAGAGCCCAAAGTTGCCCCCCACCCCCGATCCACCCGATCCCCATGCTCCTTCTTGCCTCTGGGGGCAAACACTTACCTCTTAGGCCATCTTTGGGCAGCAATCTCTTCCTCCTCCACACCCACAATTCGAATTAAGGCATCACCCAATCCTAAGGCAGTCACTAGCCACACGTGGACATTTAAATACAGGTGAGTTTAAATTTAAAAAAAGATCTGAAATCAGTTCCTAGCCCTAAGATCGGTGGTTCGAATCCCCCAGCCACTCCCAGGGAGATAGATGAGGCTTTCTACTCCCGTGAAGATGTTCTACTCTGTCTTAGGAGGCCACCAGGAGTTGGAACTGACTCGGGGGTAGCGAGGTGAGAGTGTTCCTCAGTTGGCGCGAGACACATGTTAAGGCCAAGGGCCACCACTGGCTCGTGGCTAGCACACTGGGCTGTTAGGGGGCGTCAACTTGGTTCCGACTGAGTGACACACAGAATGAAATGCCGCCTGGTCCTGAGCCATCCTCCCAACTGTTATTATATTGAGCCCCTTGCTGCTGCCGATGCTGTCAGTCTTGTTCACTGACCCTCCACTTTGCTAAACATGATGTCCTTCTGCAGAGACTGCTCAGAGGAAGGCAGGTCCAAGGGCAAACGTTTGGAAGCTCTGTAGTAGGTCCTTACTTGACTTACTACCAACCCCCTTCTTAAGATTGTTTTTTGGTGGGTTTTTTTTTTGATACTTTTATTGGGACTCTTACATCTCTCATCACCATCCATTCATTCCTCCAATGTGTCAAGCACATTGGCACATAGGCCACCATCATCATTTCAAAGCATTCTCTTCCAACTTGAGCCCCTGATATCAGCTCCCCATTTCTTCCCCTTGATAAGTTGCAGATTATTTTTTCCATATCTTCCATCATCCTCCATCACCCCTCACCCACTTTTCCATTATTCATCCCCCTGGGAGGGGGTTCTAGATTGATCCTTGTGATCAATTTCCCCTTTCTCCCCCCACCCTCCCCTAATCCTCCTGGTATCTCTACTCTCATTGTTGGCCCTGAGGGGTTTATCTATCCTGGATTCTCTGTGTTGCCGGCTCTTATCTGTAGCAGTGTGCATGCTCTGGTCTAATCTGATTTGTAAAGTAAAATTGAGGTCATGATAGTGGGGTGAAGGAAGCACCAAAGAACTAGAGGAAAGTTGTGTGTTTCATCGGTGCCATACTGCACCCTGACTGGCTCATCTCTTTCCTGTGACCCCTCTGTGAGGGATAGCCAACTGTCTACAGATGGGCATTGGGTCTCCACTCCATGCCCTCCGCCCTTCATCTTGGGGATGGTTTTATTCTGGGTCTTAGATGCCTGATACCTGATCCCATCGACACCTCATGATCACACAGGCTGGTGTGCTTCTTCCATGTGGGCTTTGCTGCTTCCTAAGATTGCTCTTGAAGTCATTTTTCTTTTATTGCTTTCCTGCAAATTGAAAACAAAACTGCGGTCCTCACTCCTCACGTCAGAATTGTTTGCTGCCGCAGTGACCCCTTGCCCTCACCAACACCAAACCCACAGCCCCGGAGCTAATTCTGACTGTCTTCACTGATAGCTCCTGTAGCACCGCCCAGGGGGTTCCCAGAGCAGTCATCTCGACTGCAGCAGACTGCCGCCTCTTTCTCCCGCTGTGTGGCTGGAGCCTGGGACCCACAGACCTTTTCCTTAGCAGGTGAGTGCCTTAACCCTTGCGCCACACCGCAGGGACACCCCCAATTCCACAGAGACGCTTCTTCCATGAGCATGTGCTCAAGGCAAATACTCTTTACTCAGGAAGCTAAATGCGTGTTTGGTGTAAAGAAACCCCCACGGCATATCTTTGGATTCAGGTTTCATTAAGGTTCATAGGTGATCCCCAGGCAGTAATTTCAGAGGGCCATCCAAGGCTCCATGGTTTCAGAAACTCTGGATTCCAGGAAGATTTGGAATTCTCTATAGGAACTGTTAAGGATGGTAGCCGGCACCATCCGGTTCTGGTGTTATGGTGAAGGGGGCAGTGGTTTGGGCGGGGAATTCATCTGCCTTTTTAAAAAAATTCATTTTATTAGGGGTTTATACAACTCTTATCACAATCCATACATATATCAATTGTGTAAAGCACATTTGTACATTCATTGCCCTCATCATTCTCAACACATTTGCCCTCCACCTAAGCCCCTGGCATCAGGTCCTCATTTTCCCCCTCCCTCCCGGCTCCCCCCTCCCTCATGAACCCTTGATAATTTATAAATTATTATTTTGTCATATCTTATGCTGTCCAATGTCTCCCTTCACCCACTTTTCTGTTGTCCGTCCCCCAGGGAGGAGGTTATATGTAGATCCTTGTAATTGGTTCCCCCTTTCCACCCCACCCTCCGTCCACCCTCACCACTGGTCCTGAGAGGATCATCCGCCCTGCTCCTCCAGTTTCTGACTTCTCCCCTTAGTGGCTCTGGGCAAATGGAGACCCAACTGTCGCACCTTGGGTGGTCACTGGCGAGCTTTGTAAGACCTCAGGCAGCCTGCAGTGAACTGGGACATAGGTGATGAGAAGCCCTAGAAAAGTTACTAGGCCAATCAATCAGCTAGGATGTCCCATGAGGCACTGACCCTCAACCTCCAAACGTGGCGGAGGCTGCGTGGGGGAGGGAACTTTAACAGAATCTCTCCGAATGCCTGGAGGGTTTCCACCAAAGCCCTGTGTGTTGGCAGCCACACACTTGACCCACTGCCCCAAGACACCTTCTTGTGGAATCTTCAACCAATGCTGGAGTGAAGGAGCAGTCCTAAACTGGGGTGGCCTGGGGACTGTACGCAGGCACAGGCTGGGAAGCTCCCACGTCAGGATCAGCCAAAGGCAGCAGGGGACCATTAGGTACCCAGGAAGCCTGGAGCAGTGGCCAATGCCACCACCGTGCTCCGGCTTGCAGGAAACCCAGGTGATGATGGTTCTGGGGACGCCACCGATCCCGACTCTCCCCATTTCACAGGTGAGGAAACTGAGGCACCAGGAGGATGGAGGGGACAGGAATCCAGACCAGACGTCGGAGGTCAGCCCCTCCAAAGCGAGCAGCGCCTGCCGCGAGGACCAGATTTTAAGGACATGAAACAGCTCCTTTGCACTTGCTCCGCTCCCCTCCACCAGAACTTTCCGTGGCTCATCGTGACTTCTGGTCACCGAGGGCCCAGGCGTCAGCTCCCTGAAGGTGTTCTTGTCCGTTCCCCCTTCTCAGACCTCCATTTGCTTTCTCCATGGTCCCTTTGTTTGGAACGAATTTCATTGGCTTCCTGCCTGTGCCCCCACCCCCCTCGACAGGTTGCCAGACCCCAGAAGGGCAGGGACTGCACTGGTTTCTCACAGATGGTCCCAAACACTCAGCACTGTGTCTGGCATGTAGCAGGTACTCAGGACAGAGTGGTGGGAGGTGTGGCTTCTTGGATATCTCTGGCCCCTCCTTCCTTAGGTTAAGCTTGGGGAGGGGTTGGGGAGGCTAGAAGAGTGGCTCGTGTCTCCATAGCCTCCCTGAGACCCAGATGTGGCTTTTAACCTGGGGAGAGAGTAGACGGCTGCTCTAGTTCTGTGTTCCTGTCCCCCCCCCTCCCCCGCCCAGAGCAGGACAGGTGGGGCTTTCTCAGAAGGGGCCTGAGGGGACAGGAGTCAGGCCTCAATGCTGCCCCCAAACTCCCAGTGAGCGGCATCTCCAACCTCCCCCTCATCTCTTTCCTTTGCTACTTCATTGTTAAATTGGATTTTCTTGGATGATGCGCAGGGAAAGTGGATTAGGGAAGACATTGTGCACGAGATTGCACGCCAGGGCGGCTGGAAGCAGAGCAGTCAGCCTTGGGCTGAAACCCCCATGACTGTGTGTGTGTGTGGGGGGGGGGTAGTGTGGAGAGATTCAGGGGGATAGTTTAACACTGACATTTCTTCTAGTCAAAGGGTGAGCAGCGAAAGAGACAGACAGGATTTGGGAGTCTGCTCAAGGGGCATTTCACCCACATCGAGGATACATGAGCCTCTCCCTGCCACATCTCGTGTATTTTACACCGTGGAAGTCAGGGCAGTTACTCAGATACTGAAGGCTCCTTGTCTCCTCACCACCTGGTCAGTACCCTCTCCACGTGCCATTTGTCCATTTCTAGCTCGGGTCACCTACAGAGCCACGGGGGTGGGGGGGGTGGGGGTGGGGCCGCGGGGGCATTGCGCAGCCTCACTGGAGGTTGTCTGGAGCCAACCGTGGGGCAGGGTGGAAGCGCCTTCGCCACTGGGGCAGCCCCTGGCTCTCCTGCTCAGGAGTCCCCTCTCAGCCCAGGGGCTTTTCCTGCAGCAACCTGCGGCCAGTGCCAGGCAGGGAACTGGTGGGTGCGTGCCCTGGTCACCTCACTCTTCGTGCACTGGGCATTGTTTCCCAGAGTCCTTTGATTGGAGGCAGGGCCAGCTGCCGCAGTTGGTAACCTGTCTGTATGTAGCATAGCCTTGCAGCCTCCCTCCTTTGTCCCACTCCCCTGTTCTCTTCCAGGACTTCTAGGGACCACCTCCTCAATCAACAAATCGCACCAGGACCCTTGTCTGGAGGAGGGACTGGGAGTGACAAATGACCCCATGACCTCTCACATCCCCTTTCCTCGCAGGGTGGATGTGAGACTGCAGGGTCGTCCGCCCTAGTCAAGAACTCGTGTCGGGAAACCACAGGGACAGTTGGACCCCGTTCTAGAGGGCAGCCATGACTCAGCGTCCACTCCACGGCAGGGAGTCAAGCATTGTTTACTTAATCAACGAAAACAAAAAGTTAAAAAAAGCCTTTATTTTCTACAAATCCCACCTCCTCCCACCCACCGTCCACAGCACAGACAACAGGGAGTAACTCTCCTGATTCCACACTGCCTGGCCCTAGACTGGCCAGGGGACTGGGACCAACACTCAGTGGGGGGTGGGGGGAGGGGACAGGGAGGGTGAGGGCAGCCACAGGTGGGAACCTCCTTGCTGCTTGTGACAAAGTGCCACCTGAGAGCCCGGACTCTGTCTCCACGGTGAGCTCTGTCAAGCACTGCTGCATGAATGGCCACTCCAGAGGGGGTGGCAACCACCCTCCCTGGGCTGAAATGCGCCCCCCACCTCACATCCTATTTCCTCTATTGGAACTTGTTCATTTCTAGACCAGTTCCCAGTTCCGGGAGAGGGACTGCGGACCTCAGGCCTGAGTGTGACAGGGCAACAGTGGAGCTGTGTGTGGAATGTGGAGCCCGCAGGACAGGGACACACAGCTGGGGACAGTGCCAGGCCCCATGAACGGAGCCCTGTTGGGCCCCAGCTGCCCAGTACCCCTGGTCTCAGGGCAGGGGGCGGTGTGGGGGCCCTGTGATGGGCCCAGCCATTGTCTTGTTGTAGTCCCCAGGACGGGCAGGGTTCTAAGTCTTGCAGAAACTTGCCTTCCTGGTGGTGGCCTTTTCCAGGTGTGGATAAGAAGCCCAGTATGGGGCTGGGGGAGGGGGGCATCCAAAGACAGGTGGCACACTTACGGCACCTTCATGCATAGGGCTTCTGTGGAAGCTATGGCCGCCACCTTGGGGGGCTGGTCTGAGCTCTGAGCTTGGTTGAGAGAAGACTGGAAGGCCAGTAAGGACTGACCTTCTTTAGAGACCCCCAAGGGAGCTGGGGATGCTGACGAGAGACCAGCTGCCCATGGAAGCCCACTTGCTGGGGAGGTCTGGGGACTCACTGGGGGCGAGGACCTGTCCCCGCAGCAGCAGCAGTCGCAGCAGGGGCTGGCCATGGCCTGGGGCTGGCCACGCTCCTCCTGGCCGTGACGCTGCTTCAGGTGGCCACACAGGTGGCAGGTGAGGGTTGAATAGACAATGCCACTGCCCAGGTCATCCCGGAGGGAGTCCCCAGGATGCTCTGGGGAGAGCGGTGGCTTCTGGCTGTCCCCACCCTTCCCCCCAGGCCCCAGACCGAGATGCTCCGGGGACCTGCTTGGACAGAGGAAGTCCTGTGGGCTGAGAGGGGGCTCTATGTCTAGTCCAAAGGTGAACCGCGGGATCCCCGCAGGGACAGAGGCCCCAGGGCAGCCAGGAAGGAGATTCTGGAAGGGTTTGTAGCCTCCCGCCCCACTGCTGGCCTCCACCCCTGGTGCTCCCGGGCAGGCTGCGCCACTGGGGAGCAGGCTGGAGAAGGCCTTGTACCCAGCCTCTCCTGCTGCGGGGCTGCAGGCGGCCGTCTGGCCGAGCTGGGCGCCCGGCTGCCCTACTGCGCTCGTCCACTCGCGGTAACCGCTGGCCGGGGTGGGGGCCGGGGCGGCCCCGTGCTGCAGGACGCGCTGGCGGAGAATCTCCTCCCAGGTCTCCGGCTGCAGAGATCCGGGCTGCTCGGAGGGCTCAGGGGTGGAGGGGACCTGTGCGTCGGCTTCCCCCGGGGATTCGGCCAGCCGCGGGTCCGAGGCCGGCGCTCCCGGGCCCGGGGACGTGCTTAGCAACGTGCTGAGGCTCCGGTAGGCGGGGTTGTCTGCAACGACCGCGGGCACCTCTGCGAGAGGCTGGCTGGACAGCTCTGGGCCGGTGCCCTGCAGAGCTGCCGGCTCGGGCTCAGTGCCTGGCAACGGCACCCAGGGCGCCTGGGTGGTCCTGCTTCGCAGTGGCGAGGAAGGGACTGAGTCCCCCGAACCTTGCGGGCTGAAGGCCTCCTCCTGGCACCCCAGGAGGTCCAGGAACAGGCTCTCAGTCAGCCGGGCCGCGATGCCCGCCCGCCCCTCCTGGAAGCTGAGCGCACTGCTGTCTGGGGACGGGCGGAGGCTCCCTTTATAGTCCTCCTCCTCCACTTCTTCCTCCTCCTCCTTGTCCGCCACCTGGGCCTCCAGCAGCTCCACCCGCTGTACCACGCTGATGCTCTCCGGCCACAGCACCGTCCTGCTGAGGTCCACAGCGCACCAGGCTGACTTTCCAGGGCCCTGGAGAGGCCCCTGTTGGGCCGCCTTGGGGAGAGACTCTTCCCTTTCCTTGCCTGGCTCCAGCGGCTCCAGCAGACACGGCAGGAGCTTGGCGAGGCACGTTTTCCAGCGTCTGCAAAAGCAAAGGCCAAGTCCGGTGAGGACTGAGTTTCTCCTCTCGGAAAACTCCTAGCTATCCTTCAAAGCCCGATGTGAGATTGCCCCCTCCGTACTGAGGTTGTGTTTACTGCACACCTGTCTCCTGATTTCATATTTGAGAATCTACTAGTCATCCTCACTACAAGCCCAGCACTCCTTGTGGGTAGGGCCTGCATCTGACTCCGAGAATTCCCGAGCCCGGCACATGGCTCTATTGAATAGAAGCCGGTCACCTGGAGTATGGGCAGGCAGGCCCAGGACACCTTCCCGAGATGCAAGGGAGGCCAGGGTGGTGGGGATGCTGGAGAGTCTACACCAGCCCGTCAGCAGGCAGTTACGTTAGAATGTTAATGACTGGCACAGTTACCCTGGTTAGTAACTCTATGGGGCCTTGCTCAGGCCAGGCTGGGTGCCCCTAGGGACCCTGACCTACTCCCGCAGGTGAAACAGGACTCTGCCAGGTGCCCACCTTCTCTGATGCCCCTCCACCTCCCATCACGCTCAGCCCAGTCTCAGGGAAAACGCCAGGCACCAAGGAGGAGAGGGCAAATGTGGAACCCCTCCAAACCCCCCGCTTCCATCACCTCAGAGTCTACTCAGGCTACAGTCAACGCTCATATACATACGGGCTCTTGGGTGGCTTCTGGTCTCGGAACAGCTTCCCCCATAGTGACATCTGCAACAGAGAGAGGGTCTGTGACATAGCGGCTCGGCTGAGCCCGCCCGCGGCAGCACCTGCCGAGTCCCACCTGGGAAACCCTAGGAGCGCTCTACCCTGCCCTGCAGGGGGCGCTGCAGGTCAGAGTCGACTGGGCGGCATTGGAGGGGGATGGTTCTGCTCCTGAGAGGAAGGACATGAGAAGCCTTCGCCCCTCGCCCTGGTGATGCCACCTCCCTGGGGCGTGACCTCAGCGGGGTTCCGGATGGAGAAGGAAAGGGGAGCTGTGGTCCTGCACTGCCTCTAGGTTTCCATGGCAATGGCTTCTCCAGCCCCGAAGAGAAGGCGGGAGGGTTGTGTGTGTGTGGGGGGAGAGGGGAGCTGGGATCCGCATTGGCCAAAGGAAGCTGTCTTGGACTGATCTTACCCTTACCCCTCTGGCAGTTAGGCAGGTTCTGCTGCTACCACTCCTTCCAGGGAGAGAGACGGAGCTATAGGAAGTGACCCCTGGCTGGAACAGCCGCCCTGGGTACGGAACGACGCTGGGCACAGAACCATCGTGTGAAGCAGCCAAGTCGCCCTACACTGAAACCTTCCCATCGCCCCTTGCAAAAGCTTTCTGTTCGGTCTGGGCTCTTTCCAACCCTACTTCCTGACACACAGTCACAAGTCCCCTTCCCACCTGAGTGTCCTGGATGATGATGGCCACCAGGGGGCTGTGGGCGGGGTTGGGAATCTGGTCCCACCATTCTTTCTTAATCCTGAGGAACAGAGGGGAATAGGGGTTAACGGGGATGCTCTCCTGGCAACCACCCACGCACAGCTGTCAGAGTACACGGATTTCATGGCTGGAGCGTGGGGATTCTCCGTAGGACGCTGACAGGTGTTAGGTCAAACCACCAAACCCTCACACGGACCCTAGGAAACCGGTTCTGGGGTGAATCCCATTCCGCAGACGAGGAGACTGAGGCCTGAGAGGTGAAGTGACAACCGTGCCGTGGCAGAGCTGGCCTCATGGCCCAGGACACGGCTACCCCTGTCCCCAGCAGGAGCGAGGGGCCCCGCCCTACAGCCTGCTGCCCAGAATGAGGACCGACTCAAGGCAAGAGAGAAAGCGGGCAGTTTTCCTGGCACCAATGCCCTCGCAGGGGCGGCTGAGGGCAGGATGTCTGGGGTGGCTTGGGAAGATGGAGTGGCCCTGGAGGAACCGCTCTGGGTCTGTCTGGAGCCAGCAAGCACCAGCTTCCGCCTCTGGCTGAGTCTCCACCCATTTATGTCCACCCACTGCCAGGCCCTGGGACCCCGCAATGAGCGGGGCAAAAAGCCCTGCCCACGTGGAGCTCTCTCCTTCAAGAGGAGAAAACAAACAAGCAAAGTAAAACTCCTTGCCATCCAGTCAGTGCAGACGCAGAGTGACCTCAGAGGACAGGGTAGAACTCACTGGCCCTGGGAGCTTCCGAGACTGTTCACAGTTAGCACAGAAAGCCCCGTCTTTTTCCCCAAGGAGTGGCTGGTGGTTTTGAACTGCTGACCTTGTGGTTAGCAGCCCAATGCATAACCACTGTGCCACCAGGGAGGAGGTGGGCACTAAATAGACAATGATGGGACATTGCTCCCATCTGAACAAGAAGGACCTTGAATAAGAATAAAGTCCACCTTTCTCCCTTCAGAGGACAGACCTCCTTCGGAGCAGGTCACGACAGAAAGCCAGCTGAGAGACTCGGCGACCTATGACCCTGCTAGGAGGCAGGTTGTATGGGCAGGGTCCTGGGGGGTGGGTGGGGAGGTTTTGTTCTCAGCTCTAGCCTCAGTGCCTCTACTGTGGAATGAAAGGCCCAAAACCTGACTGGTGAGAGACCCTGGTCCTTCATGAACAAAGCACCGTCTTCTCCCCTCCCCGACCCTCCTCCCACGTGGCGCAGCTGGGCGGGTGGCCACCATGCTGAAGGCACCTGCACTCACTTGAGGACGAGGAAGTAGCAGGACACAGAGACGGCCAGAATAAGGACACAGGAGATGCTGACGCCGAGCCGGAGCTGCTGATTCAGGGTGTCCTCCTGGTAGTCTGGGGAGGGGTGGGGAGGGGGAGGGTAAAGGTGAGCTCCCTAGCCCAGCCTAGCTTCCACTCCCTGGGAGATTCCCCAGCAGCCCTCGCGCCCTCCTGCCCTCGGGTCTCCTGGCAGCATTCTGGGGCCTCCAGGCACAGTCGGAGGTCAGTCAACACTGGTTGAAATAGCTACTGAGTGTCCAGCCCATTGCAGCCGTCCATCCAATCATCTTCCCTCTCTCCAGGCCAACAGTAGAAAAAACGAATTGGACCAAACTTCCCTCGACACTGACTGTCAGTGTCCAGCACTGACTGTGTGTCTGACCCTGAACCGACCCAGAAAAAACACTGCCTGAAGGTGCTTACAGGTGTCTGGTGTGGGAGATGGGTCAACAGACGCCCTCGGGACATAAAGAACAGCGCTGAGTGGAGCAGGCGGGCGGGCTAACTACCCACCCGCGTGCCCCAGCACTTCAAAGACACACCTTTCACTGAATTTTCACAACCACCCTTACCCGCTCGCCACCGCACAGATGACAGATGAGGGCACCCATCCTGCCCAGTAGACATTTCCCCTGGTTTTGTCCCAGGCAGGGTGTCTTGGGCCCATGGTGCTTCTTTTATTCCTTCTGTGGCCACCTGAGTCCCCAGCCTCCCTTGCAAATTTGGGGAGGTCGTGCACTGAGTGCTTGCCAATGAGGTGTCCCAGGGAAGCTTCCAGAAAGCCATCTGGTGGGAGCCCTTCCTCTCCTCTGGCTGGGCCATGAGGGTGTGAGCTGCGGCTGGTTTAGGGCCATGCAAAGGAGAGCAGAGGGGAAGGAGGTGCCAGCACTAGGCTGGGACAGGCCGGAAGTCCCCTTGTAAGACTCCAAGTTATGTGAGATACTTCGTGATTGCTATTATAAATAGCCATGTGTGACAGAGTTGTAAAGAGTTGTTTCCTGGGATGCAGTGGCCAAGTCAAGGACTACATTTCCCAGCATCCCTGGCACCAAAGTGTGGCCGTGTGACCAGTTTCCACCAATAGAACCTGTATCCCTTCTGGGTAAGGCTGTAAGAAGCTGGTGTGTTGTGAATGATGATGGCAACAAATATACAAATGTGCTGGACACAATGGATGGATGGATGGATTGTGATAAGAGTTGTACGAGCCCCCAATAAAATGATTTTTTTTAAAAAAGAAGCTGGTGTGGTCTCTAAGTTTTCATTCCCTTTCTTGTCTGCCCCCGCCCCGCCCCCCACAAGCCCTCACAGGATGCATGTGTTTAAAAAGATTCCAGAGCCGCACTCCAATACAACTCATCTCCTTTGTCATCCCATGCATTTTATTTTACGCATTAAAGACATCGTAGTCTATGTGATGCACAGGCTTCACCAGACTGCCAGAGGGGTCCATGACACCACCAGGTTTGTCTTGGTGGGTGATGGATGGAATCTCAGTGCTTACATCGCCACAGGGAGGAACCGCCCCCACCCTCAAACCAGCAACGTCCACACTGGACTGAAATGCATGTCTATTGTGGCAAGCCACCGAAATCCTGGGCTTCCTGTAGCCTGGTCTACCTACCCTAGCTATGTCAATGCCCTGGCTATATCAATGCCCTGGCTATGTCAATGCCCTAGCTATATGTCAATGCCCTGGCTGTCATCAGTGACTCCATGTCAACGAGTCACTTTGCGATGGGAAGTAAGAGGCATCTTTGGACACAGAAACAGGAGGCTCCGCGGGGGGAAGGGTCTGACTGCGGACTAAGAGGGGGCGGGGTTGAGACCTGGACGCAGGACTCTGACACTCACTGTTGTACCAGGTGCAGCTGTTGCTCCATTCGCTCCAGGAGCTACTGTACTCCAGAGCCCGGGTCTTCACTCTCGCCCTGTAGTGGACCCCAGACTTTAGGAACTTGGCCGGCAGTATCAGGAAGGATCCTGTGTAGTTCACCTCATGCACTTTGAACTGGCAGAAGACACGGGCACAGTTACACACTGGCCGGGGAGGGCACCTTAGCTCCTGCCTGGCCATATGGCTGTGCCCCAGACTCAGGGCTTTGCCCGCCCCGCCACAACCCATGACAGAGTAGAGGGAAGGAGTGGGGTGGGGCACTAGTCCTCACCCCGCCCTACCCCCAACATGAGCTGTATGACATCACACTGGCAAGTTGATTAAGCATGCTGAGTTTTAATGTTTTTATCCTGTGTGACCTTAGGCAAGGGCCACAACCTCTCTGGGTCTGAATGTCTCTCTTCTTCTGAGAACAACACATTCCAAAACCTTCTAGCCCATTAAGTGGGCTAATGCAGGGAAGCACCTAAAACAGAGGCGGGGACATACACACACACACACACACACACACACACACACACACGGCATCAGAGCAAAATTTGTGAAGCACAGAGACCCTCTTGACCCTTCTTGGGCTTGCCAGCACCCAGGCCAAGCCCACCCTCATTGACCATCTACCTTGGGGTGTGACTGCCAAGGTCAGGTGTGCAATGCAAGGGGAAGAGTCAACAGAGCACCCGCTGTCTCCTACCTTGGATATTGAATAGAAATAAGAGAAGGCCCAGTGATTGAGGCCGGTAGACCCAGATGGCACGGTACCAAGCCCTGGGTAAGCTCCACCCAGGTGCCTGGATTATAAGCGTGCACGTGCACATTAGACTGCAATGTCTTTCTTGCTAGGAGAATCTCCCCTCTCTGCTGCTTTGGGAAAGCCACCTACTTAAGGAACGGAGGATGGCCTCTGGCCAATGGCCAGCAGGATCCTGAGGCTCTCCCTCACTGAGCCACTGGAACGGGATCCTGCCCACAATAAGCTTAGAAGAGAGTCCGTCCCCAGGATCACAGTGTGGGAGGCTGGGCCCAGCCCCCTGACCCACAGGCACGTGGGACACTCACTGTGTGTGGCTGATAGCTGCTCTCATTCCCTCAGCTGCCGACTCAGAGCAACCCTGTCTCACCTCCCTGCCATCAAGTCCATGCTGACTCACAGCGACCCGATGGGACAGGGTAGAACTGCCCCAGTGGGGTTCTGAGACTGTAACTCTTTCTGGGGGTAGAAAGCCCCCTCTTTCTCCTGAGGAGTGTCTGGTGACTTTGAACTGCTGACCTTGTGGATCATAGCCCAAGTAACCACGAAGCCATCAGGGCTCCTAAGTGCCTGTTAATTTCCCTTTGAAGTTCCCGGCCTTGTTCCCGGCATCAGGGTGATGTGTCCGGTTCAGACATGTGTACCCGTGAGTGTTAATGTCCAGTAGGCCCATTCCTTTACCCCCGCTTGGCCCGGTCAGTGTTGTAATTTTTAACCTGACTGTACATTATTACAGTCGGGTGATAACTGGTGGTTCTGTGGGTTAGGCATTGCGCTGCCGACTGTAAGGGCCACGGTTCAGTCCCACGAGGAGAAAGATGAGAGTGTCTGTCCCCATAAAGATGTCCACCCTTGGAAACCCTATACAGAGCCCCTAAGAGTCCGGGCAGACTGACGGGAATGGGTGAGAAAGGGAGTAAGGTGATTTCTGTCCTCTCACATTTTTTATTTCTGTTGTACCAAACACACACACACACACAAAACCTTGCAAGAACATTTTTTCGTGTTAATACTGAGGAGTGGCTTCCAGGACTGGTCAGTTTGAATCTGTGGCACTGAGAGGACAGAGCTGAGTCTAGTGACATGCTGGCCCCAAACACTCCTAAGTCCCTCGTTCAGAACTTCTGGGAACTGTGGCCATGGCAGCACATCCCCCCAGCTCTGCCCTGCTCAGCGTGTGCTGGGCTGGACGTCTCCCTAAAAACCCCGGGGCCTTCGGGTTGATCTTTTTCTTAATCATTTTATTAGGGGCTTATACAACTTTTATCACAATCCATACATACATCAATTTGGAAAGCACATTTGTACATTCCTTTCCCTCATCATTCTCAAAACATTTGCTCTCCACTTAAGCCCGTGGCGTCAGGTCCTCGTTTTTTTCCCCTCCCTCCCCGCTTGCCCCTCCCTCATGAACCCTTGATAATTTATAAATTATCATTTTGTCATATCTTGCCCTGTCTGACATCTTCCTTCACCCACTTTTCTGTTGTCCCTCCCCCAGGGAGGAGGTCACATGTAGATCCTTGTAATCGGTTCCCCCTTTCCAACCCATCCTCCCTCTACCTTCCCAGTATCGCCACTCACACCACTGGTCCTGAAGGGATCATCTGCCCTGGATTCCCTGTGTTTCCAGTTACTATCTGTACCAGTGTACATCCTCAGGTCTAGCCATACTTGCCAGGTAGAATTGAGATCATGATAATGGGAGGGGGGTAGGAAGCATTTAGGAGCTAGAGGAAAGTTGTATTTTTCATCGTTGCTACATCGCACCCAGACTGGCTCGTCTCCTCCCCAGGTTGATCCTTTAAGAGCAGATTTCTAGCCAGCTGGGCTTCTGCAACTTATGTAAAAGGTGGTGGCATCGGTCACCTCCTAGGCGTTGGGCAGAGAATAAGGAAGACCCAAGAAGAACTGATGCATTTGAATGACTGCGCAGGTGAAGAGTATCACAAGTACCCTGGACCACTAACGGGACAGACAAACCTGTCTTGGAAGAAGTACAGCCGGAATGCACCTGAGAGGCAAGGATGGGAAGGACATCAGGCTCGGTAGACAGAGTAGAAGGGCGGTAAAGCAGAGGAAGACCCTGGACAAGACGGGCTGACAACAGTGGCTGCAATGATGAGCCTGACCACAGGAGGCAGCAGGACGGGGCCATGTGTCCCCGTTGTCAGAACCGAGTAGACGGCACCTAACAACCAAACAACTCCTTTCTCCACCCTACCCCCTGCCAGGATGAGTGTGCTTTCTTCTCCGTAGATGGGACCGTTCAAACCCCTCACCCTGAGACCCTTAAACAGCCCATTGGAACACCCCCTCCATTCGGGGAGGTGGCCTGGCCAACTGTATGTCCCTCGGTCAGCCGTGCCAGAGGGAAAGGCGCAAGTCCTCTGTCCCGATACCTCTTACTGTGTCCATGGGAATAACGGGTAAGGGGCCCCAGCTCTGTCCACGTGGCAAAGGACCCCAGGGAAATCCCCTGATATCAGAGGGTATGTGTGGACAGCAGCTTGGGAGGAGCATGTCAATTTTGTATGGCATAACTTTTAACCAATGCCACGCTAATCCTTACTCTTGGGCCATAATCGTTGCAAGTACGTGACCATGATCAAATGACAAGAGGGATGAGGAAACCTATCTCCTCAACTGAGACTTCCTCCTTGACCACTTAGGCATGGGCTCTGTCTCCCTTTGCGGCTGCGGCTACCCAGGTGTGTCGTCCCACACAGATATGGTCCAAAGCCCTGCCTTTAAGATGCGCAGCAATGGGCAGAAATAAGTTCTGGGCCCAGAGAGGTGGCAGGCCTTGGCCTGGGCCTCAGAACACAGCCAAGCTAGGATCCAAGTCCCTGGTGGCCACAGCCCTACAAGGGCCGGGGCCTGACTTTCACCTGCCCAAGAGGCACCTGGAGAGATTGAGAAGACCACTCCTTACCCCACCCTTCCACCCTCTCCTCCCCTCGACCCCCCTCTAACTCACATCTGAGGGGTCGTTTTCATTTGAGATGTTGACCAGGTAGGTGAGCTCCGAGTACAGGTTGTCGTTAGGGGCATAGGGGTTACTCCACGTGAAATGCAGGTGATCAGAGACATTCTTCTCCACCGTGAGGTTTTCCGGCGCCCTGGGTATGACTGTGGGAGACACAGGGCCTGCATGTGGGGCTTGTGGGGGGAGCAGAGGGAGGGACACAGCCCCACGCAGGACCACCCAGCTCCACAGGCCACGGGTTGTTCAGATGTGCGCTGACGGCACACCAGAGGTCCAGTGCTCACACAGATGAGGCCATTGCCAACAGTGTCCCAGGCACATCCGTGCTGATGACCAATCCCCTCACCACAGTGAATGGGCAACATGCAAGCCAAAGTCCCCAGAGGCCAGCCTTTTCCCTGGCACCCTGAGCTTCCTTGGCCATCACATCAGTACACAAAGGCAAAGGTCATTTCCAAGTGGATTCGTGGGTCAATTTCAACCATCTTTCAACCACCAGCAGGCATACATAGATAGACACTTGGGTTTGTGCTGGTGGAGTGGCTGAGAGGGGGAGTTTTACAGAGAGACCTGGCTTGGAATTCTACTCCTGCTGATTCGTGGCTGTGTGTGGTAGTTACATAATCTAGTGTCAATTTGAGGATTAAGAGTGTAGGGGTGGAGTCTAGGCTGTTAATCAGGATATGGCCAATGAGATCTCTTTGTGGGCATGGCCTTCCCCTAAGGATTCTGGGAATTGCTGAATCTTCCTCCCTGGAGGTGGGAGACTCTCGGCTCACACCCTGGGAGACATAGCAGCTGAAGAGACACATGGACCCACCCTGATGCAGAGACCCCTGCCAGCGCTGAGATGTTTCCAATGCCACTGGATCCAAAGACTTTCCACCCACTGCCCTCTGATCTTCTACACTTGGCGTCATTGCATGTGTTTCGTGAGTTTGAAGAGGACTTTATAGATTGGTCTGGGACATATAGGCTAATATCGGACTTGATCTGGACTGGGTGGGATATTTTCTCAATGCTCAATTGCTCTTGTATATAAATCTCTTTCTTACACACATATGTGTATCAATGGATTTGTTTCTCTAGTCTACCCAGACTAACACACTGTGTGACCTCGGGCTGGTGACCCTGTCTTCTTGGAACTAGAGTTAATTCAACTGTGAAATGGGACTCCAAACCCTCTTCTGGAAGTTGACGTTCACACGTTTTCAAACACGTGTCACGATATCTCAGCAAGCTCACAGGGAATTCTGGCAGGCTCCAAGTGTCAGGATAAGATCAGACTCCAGTGACCAGGTCCTCTGACCAGCTCACAGTTGGGGAGAGCACAGTTCCCAGCCTATAGTGCCTTCAGTCACACATGCCTCATCTCAATACCCCTCCCTGGGCACTTAAACTTTGGCGATGGGGGCGGGTTGTGAAGTGTCTGAGCTGAAGTTAGCCTGGCCTGTTGCTGGGGAAGTTACATAATTTCATGTCAACTTGATACATAAAAATGTAGGGATGGAATTTAGCCTGTCAATCAGGCCTGGTCTCTGGAGGCTGCTCGCTTATACTCTTACTCTCTCTCTCTCTCTCT